ATTTCCTGTGATTTACTGCTCCTAAGTCCTATTTCAAGGGGATGACAATAGTGTTGGTGTTGGGTATTGAGATTGGATCTAATTCTTACTTCTCTTTCAATTTCCTTTATTTTTATCATTGTTCTAATGCAACTCCAAGTTTTTCCTTCTTAAGGTATGCTATTAAAACTCTCTAGAAACAAAATTGAAGCATTGGTTGACGATTGAAAGGCAAAAATGTAGATACTGAACAATGAGGGAAACTCAATGTTTTGGATAATACCGAAACCGTTGGAAAAAACACTGAAACCGAAAAATATTCAAAACAGTAAAACCAATATTTTTTGGTTCGATATCCGGTGCTGCAATTGCCTAACCGATATTTCGGTTAACCGACCAAATCCCACCCCTAGCCATGATCATCTTGGCATCGTCTCAAGTGTATTGTTGGCTCGTAAAGCGTAAGAGATGAAGGTGAACCATTGACCTCTTCAGTATACCCTTTTTGTTTCATGCTCTCTATAGTTTGATTTCTGATTTGTGGAAAATTTGAGGATGTTTCCATTATAAACCAATAAGAAGTTATTTTCCGCGAACCAAATGCACCCAAAATGAGTTTTCTGTGTAATTGTATAGGGTCAAACTATAACTTCCAAATCAGACGAGAGGGAGCGCACAACAAAATTATGTAACTTGTCTGCACAATTGTTCGGTTTTTACATAAAAACCTAACCCAGCCAAGATACAAAGCAACCTTATTTTCGGTTTGGGATGGTTCAAGGGTCTGTATGTATGTAACAGCAAGACTATGAAAGGAATTCCCTTGAGGTCCATCTCTCTTCATTACTCCCAAATGAGTAAAGCTGCGGCAGGCACCCCTGTTCGGTGGAGAGGGTCTGGTTCAATGCCATAATCTGTCAGTGGTCTGTGCTCAAGATTGTCATCGTGATTCTGCACAAATTCAGGAATCTCAACCTCCCCCTTGTTTATGTCCTCCCAGAGATACTGCAAGTGGCTTACGTACTTGATCTTCCAGTATAAGATGAAAAAAGTTACAGCAAGAGCAAAAGTTACAACAAGAACAGTTCTGATGAACAACGACAATCAAGGTTGAAATCAATTTTATATTTTCAATTCAGAAGGGTTTGCAATCTCGAAAATGTGTTAATAATCCCTGCATGATTGGTAATATGAACATCATGTTCTTTTCATGAATGCCCTGAAGTGCACAGTTAATTACCTTGGAGAACACAAGAATAACTACTTGAAGCCCTAAACATCCATGGAGAGAGGGGGGAAGAGCAATGGAGGAGGTACTGAGGGATTATATATATAGATTGACGGTAAGAATTTTGATATGTTTTAAGGATAAAAAATAATGCATTTCATTTGAAACAAAAATGTGACTCCTTTAAAAATATTCTAAACAATAATTAAGGATATTTCAAATTGACCTTTCCAAGGTTTTAAAATTTCTAGCAAGACAGTTCTGTTCAACTGGCAAGCATCTCAATTAGGACGCTTGTTCAATATGTCATTTCCAGGACCAGTGCTTGCATCTGTCCCCAGTTGCTGAAAATGGCTCAATTTGAACTTTGCAGATGCAGGATGATTGATAGGCAGGGTTTCAATATAAGAAAGAACTCAGATGATGACCGCTTACTCCAACAATCCATGAAGCCAGGTCCTAGGTGCACATTCAGACAACTAACTGAGGGTGGCTGTTCGCCCCCATTGCCCCTAACTGTAACCTTATTCTGTTTTCTGTAAGGAGTTAATCCAGGGTTCAATCTCCAAAACTGCATTGCATAAAAATTATTTTTCCGGCCAGTAGTTCTCATCTTATTACATTAGATGGACTAGGGATCAAATATACCAAACATGTACCATAAACTTTTTACAGGTTCTTCCCTTAAACTGACAGACAAGTGTCTGAACTCTAAAACAGTGTCCCAGGATAAAGTGAAGAGTCTCAGCATTCATCGATCTTATATTTTATTTGACTATGAAAATTCTGCACATAAAACATTAAAATATTTGGACCATATTCCTAAATATGCTTTACTGTTAAATAGCGATAAAAGAGAATACTGTATGTCATGCAGAAGTGAAACTAAAACTCACCTGCCACTTAAGAAAAATCTGCCAAGAGTAGCAAGAACAAGTCTTGACCGCAGCCCAGGGTGTCTGTACACGACTTGCGGCCTATCCTTGATCTCCAAGGGAAGTTCTTCGTAAATCCACCTCAAGATAGTAAGACCAGGGGAATTATCCTCCTTTTGCACTGTACTATGCATATAGACAATGTAGAATGGCCCTTCAGGCAACTCAGTGCATATATATTTTCTGGATCATATATATTTCTTCAGCCGGTCACCACTCACAACAGGAGCTGTATATGTTGAAAGAAGAAACAAGTTGAGAAGATTTCAAACCAAAATTCCCATAAGCAGAATGGGATTGAGGAAAATCAGAACCTACAGGCAAGTGCCAGAAATGATAATAAAAAGACTAAAATACCTTAATGAATCAATATACAGAAGTTTCGTTAAGGGTATTGAACAATTTCATGATGAGTCCTGCCATTTTCAATACCAAGACATCTTGATTTTCAGACAAAAAGAACCTCCCTGCTGGAATTACTCTGAATCAAACAAAATGAAAAAACACCGTCATTCCATTCTTCAGACTTCTAAGAACTAAAATCAAGCTAATGAATGAAAAGCTCCAAAATTTGAGTACCCAACAAATTCTGATCTTCAGTTGGACAATAATAAGACATAAAACATAAAAGACAGCCATAGTTGGAGAAAACAAGACCATAACAAAAGAAAAATTTAGATATGGAATTCAAGTATTAAGATCAATCAAACAGGAACCCACAAAGATAGAAAACAGTTGCTTAAAAAAGGATTGGATAAGATATAATGAATGAAATTAAACACCGACAAGGGTATCGGTAATCACCAGGAAAGTACTTCTCCACGATGCGGAAGATGCGGTTTCCGAATTTATCGGAGTCCTCGAGGCGGAAGAATTGCAGGAATTCGAGATCGGAGAAATCTTCATCTGAAGAGGAGGAGAAGTGCTGCGAACAGTCTTGCCAGTTCTCCTGTTCATCGGCTTCTCTGTCCTAGCTGGTCAGGAAAGGGCGTGCGTCGAAGCCCAAATCGGGGGCGACAACAAGGACGGAAAAATCATCGGAAGACGAACTTCCCATCTCTTTAGCGCCGGATAGCAGTTATTTTCGTCTTCGCCGCACCCGCTGCGATCACCGCTGGCGTTCACTTCCCGAGATTCCTATCCATGGTTGGGACTTGGAGAAACCCATTTTGAACCCTTAAACTTTAATCCAATTTTCAATGAGACCTTTACCTTTTGCTTATGGTCACTCAAAACCCCCTAGTCATTTCAGTGAACAAAGTGCCACAATATATATTTGAAAAAGTATTTTATAACATATTTACTAAACTATCTTAATAAAATTATGTCTTATATTATTTCATAAGAGTACTTTAGTAATTTTATATGTTGAATTACATTTTTAATTTGTAATCTAACCTATAAAACATGAATCTCATATATATTTTCATTTTTTTTTGTGCAATATAACTTATAAATTTACTAAAATAATTTTAATAAAACTCTTTCTTATTCATTAATTTTAATAATTTTAGTGTTTGAGAAATGTAGTCCAACCTAAAATACATGAATCTCATACTATAATGTCTGTAACTAGCTACAATGGTAAAGAGTGCACCTAATTCATGGCCATATTCATGGTTTAATGGTAATTTCTTAAGGAAGTAAAATGTTATAAATTTAAGTTACATGATATGTACGTGAAGTAGGTTAAAAAAATAAGAAAGAGTTACCTCCCACCATATAACCTAAGATAGAAAAAAAATGTCCTTGGTTATAAATTGTCATTGTCATTTCCTTTGTTTCTTAATGTTCACAAAAAAGGGAAAAGGTCAGCCTATTTTCTTGCTTCGCAAGTCATCATGTAATGTATACATTGGAAAGTGTAATTTCCCTTGTATTTATTGGAGATTATATAGAAACAATTAAAGAAAGATTCAATAGAATCAAGATAAAATTTTAAGGTTTGAATTAAATCTGAATTTATATAATTAAAATTTCAAAATATTTCATTAACTGAATATAAGAAATATTTCAAACCCGTATACAATCATGATCTTATGAAAAAGTGCCACTGTAGTGCACTTTTTACATTAGGATGCTGATTGGTGCACACCCGGTGTTGACCCGGGTGTGCACATATCTTTATTCTTTACATTATCCTTGCCCTGCATGTTCTTTTTTACTCCTTTCTTTATCTTGAATCACCCTCTAAACAAACCACTGGATTCATACTCTGGCCAAAGCAAGCTCATCACATCTTAACGAAAGATTTTAGCTGGTAATCATCGTCTTGCCTTTCATAAACTCCAAAATTGTAGGGTTTTTTCCTT